CTATTCTGGTGAAAATTGCTACCTAAAGCCGAACTAGTGGATAGAACTCTTCAACAGAAAACAAGGAAAATAGTATGATGTCATACGTCTTTGTGTACTCGGGTGTTCTGTCTCCCTTGTTCGCCTTAGAGTAAGGGGCAGTTTTTGCACTGGTGGGGTGCAGGGTACTGTGCAGCTTGTCTTTACCAATCATAGCGGCCGGCTCTGTTCCTCTTGGGTACGCTGTCCTCTTGTGGAGTTTTCTTTTTCTTTTTGTTTATCTACCTGGTCGGGGGGTCTGCCTTCGTTCTTGCCCCTTGTGTCCCTTGTGTTCTGAGTATTTTCTGGTGGTACCCCTGCTAGGTCCCCGTGAGTGTACACGTCTCGGGGGTTCAGCTCTTAGAAAGTTGTTTGGTAGCTTTGGGTGCCGGTTAGCAGTACCCTGCCTGGGATTACCTGAGCGCGAGTCCTCTTATAGTAAACGCTCGGGACCCTGGGAAACCTCTGGGGGCGCGCGGGTCCGATGGATGTGACCCCAGAGCCCCCCCCTCGCTTCCAGCGAGTTTGAGGGTTGCTCTCACCCTTTGTCTCTGGGTGACTCTCTGTTTTGCCTCCGTCTGCTGCCTGTGGGGTCGGTGACACCTTCGACCCGGAGTCCTGCGAGTTTGGTTGCTCGTTGTGGCTCGGTTACCCAGTTGTGCTAACAAAGCGGGTGCGGGCAGCAGGGGCGTTGCACTTGAGCCTTGGTGGTAGCAACGTTCTCGTGGTTTCCTCCCCGGGAGCCCCGGGGCTGCCCCGTTGTAGTTCGTTTTGGGACTTGGGGGTGTTGGTTGCTTCGGTTCCATCCACGCCCCCTTGTCTTTCCCCTGGATCACCCTTCCTGCCTGCATCCGGTTCCTTACCGTCTGTAGGTTTGGGGCGGGGTTTTTGATGGTGTTGAGACTCGGGCAGTCTCGGGGAATTCCCCTTCCGGGGTAGTGACGGGGGCATTTGAGCCTGTTCCTCCAGCCGTGTTGTACGAGTCTGCCAGTGGGCTCCCTTCATTAGTGTTTTCACGGCTGCCCCGGTTTTCTGGTACGGCCGGGGCTTTGGGGGAACGGCTCGGCCCCGGGGCCTGTCGTGTAGGTTCCCGGGGCTGGGAAGGGGCTGACTTGGGGGCCTTGGCCCCGTTGGACCCCGTGAGGTTTTTTGTCCCCCTCTAGGCGGGGCTTGTGGTTACGCGGAGTGGGGTTTTTCCTCCCCACTCGCCGTACGTGCTGTTGGGCGTCAGCCTCTCCCCGGGCTCGGTTCCTTGGCCTTTGAGTCGGTTGGTTCCGTCCTGTGGGTGGATGTTTCCTCCCACCCCTTTTTGGGACGGTGTTTTCGTCATGTTTCCCCGTTCGATGGGGTTCTGCGTGACTTCTGTTCTCGGGTGCGCCTGCGCCTTCGTGTGCCTTCGAGACTAGTGTTGGCTTCTGTGTTCTCGAGGGTACGGGAAGGTTTTTCGCTACTTCCCGCATTATTGGAACGTCTGTCGGCTCCTCCTGCTTGTCGCCCTGTTGGGCTGCTTGTCGCCCTGTAGGGCTGCTTGTCGCCCTGTTGGGCTGCTTGTCGCCCTGTTGGGCTGCTTGTCGCCCGGTTGGGTTCCTTTTTGGGCTCTTTGCTTCTTTGGCCGGTTTTATTGTTCCTGCTTCCTCTTTTGGCTACTTTTCTCGTGCAGTAGTCCTGGCTGGCGCCTTCCCGCAGGGAGGGTGTGCGGTTCGGCCAGCGTGTTATGCGCATGCGCCGTGGAGTTTGTTTTGGTCTGGGCGGTGTTTCAGTGCTGGTGTTTTGCGCCCTTTTTGCTACAGTGCTTCGCCTCTCGTTCTTCTCCCTGGCTGCGGTATGTGCCCCTTCGCGCCGGGGGTGTCCTGGTTCTCAGTTGTAGGGAGAACACTGCGGTTTTCCCTGTCATGGGTGTGGATCGCCTCCTTCGCCTCTCCCTGCTCTCCTGCGGGTCCGGCAGGGTCCGGCTCTGGCGTCTTCACCTGGCGGTGCTCCCAGGTTCTTCTGGGCACGGTTGAGTTGTGTCAAGTTCGTGCCACCATTCGCCAGGTGAGTTTCTGCGGTCTGGCGTCTTTTGGCCGGGCGCTGGATGCGGTGTTGTTTATATACCTGTCTTTATTTAGGTATATTTTTGTACGACTGAGACCGTTCGCACACCAGTGACTGTCCCTTTTTCAACCCTTCCTGTCCCCCTCATGTGCATGTCCAACCCATGCTGGAGTCATTCTGGGGACCCTCCTTTTTAATGTTGTGAGGTGTGGGGGTTGTAGGGTTGGTTCTGTACTCACCTGGTAAGGCTCCTGGCTGTGCTTGCAGGATTTGAGCTCTGGCTCTTGGGTCCCGCTTATCTGGTAGAACTTGCGGGATAGTACCAGTGGAGTGCAGTGGTGCTCTTGGCACATTTGGGGAACACTGTATTACCATCAGAGGTCTGTGCTTGTTCCACGACCTACTTGCGAGCATAAGCCTTCTTGCTGGTTTGTCCGTGGTCTTCCAGGGCGCACTGGCCTGTTTCCGTATGGCAGTTCCGGCCCGTCCTTGTTGTGGGGGTATGTGGGCCGGTGGACTGCTCCTAGCAGCTGCCTGGTGGGCCACCCTCTGGCCGGTCTAGCCTGGCCTTGGGCCGGGCTTCAGGTGTAAAAGAGCTCCCAGTACCTCATCCAGCAGGTATCGAGCGGGGTTTCTCCGCTGTCGGTCGCCTGGTGCAGGTTTCTGGGCCTGCAGGGTTTTTTGTCGTGTCTCCGTTGGCCCTCTCTGGGGTCTGCCTGCTCCGTTCTCTGCCTTTGCAGAAGGGAGTTGCTATTTACATGTTGCATGTTGCAGTGGTGCCTGTTGCTGCTGCTGCACGTGTGCATTGGTACCGTGTTTCACGGTGGCGTGTCCTTGTTCCTGTGTCCGGTTGTAGAGTGGCACTTTGCTGCCGTTTTGTGCCTGGGGATTGCGTGGGGGTTTTTCTGTCCCTGCCTGATTGTCCACCCCTGGTTGTTCTCCTGGGGTTTTTGTGCTTCTGCTCTTTCTTCCTGCCTCCTCTGCAGCAGGGATGTTCTGCGTGTGTTCTTAGGCGTTGGTCAGCCTGTGTCCTGTGATGTGCTTCTTTGTCTCGGTCTATTGCATTTGTTCGTACCCCTTGGTTCGGGTACTGTTCTGGCAGCGACCCTTCCGCTTTCTTTGGTTTCCTAGCTTGCCCTGCCGGTTGGGTTTTTTTTGGGGTCTTGCGATGTCTCGCGTCGGACCCGTCGTTTCTGAACTCCTGGCGGGCTTGCATGCTTTGAAGAGTTTTTCTGTTCGGCAGACGCTCCATCTCCTTGTTCCGCCTGGGTTTCGGTGGTCGCGCCCGAGATCTTCCCGCAGCTCCGCCTTTTTCCTGGGCTTGGAGGGGCCTTGTCGGGGCTGCTTATGTTCTGCCTCGCGGTCTCGCCTCCGGTTGGTGGTCGGGTGGCTTCGTGGTAGGTGTCCCACCTGCGTGCTTCTCTAGGCGGCAGTATGGGGTATTTTGGCGGTCCTTCCTTTTCCTGTCCCTTCTTAGGTGGTTACTCTTGTTAGCTTGGTTTACTCTCGGCTTGGTTTTCTGGTGGGGGTTGGGGGCCGTCGTCTTGCCACATACTGTCGCCTCCTTTCGTGCGGCGCGGGCGGAGCCGCTTCAGCTTGCTTTCGGTCTTGGTGTTGCTTCTGCACCGTTAGTCAGCTGTCTTGTGTGTCGTTTCACCTCCGGCCTGTTCGTGCACCGCTTGCACCATCCTGGTCTCTGGTCAGCGTGCTCTGTCTTCTCCTCGATTGGTAGTGCCCCTTCGGTTCCGGTGTGTTTTTTCGTCGGCTCTTCCTTTGGGCCTTTGCCTCTGGGGGTCGAGTCGCTGAGTTTTCTTGCTCCTTCGGTTTTAGCGTTTTGGTTGTTTGGTGGCAGCAGTCTCCATCTTTTCTGGCGCGGGGTGGGGCTGCTGCATTCTGGAGGGGTCCAGGGTTTGTGGGTGCTTCGTTGGTCGGGCCTGGGGTGTGTCGTTTTTGTGTTTAGTTTTGGCCCTCCGCTGTTGTTTGCGTGCCACGGCGTTTGGGTCCGGAGCGCGTTTTGCGTTGATCCGGTTCTGTTCTTCCCGGTTCGCGGGTGATAGTGTCCCAGGTGGTCAGCGGTGTTCTTGCGGCTAAGCTGCCTGTGTTCTTCCCTCATGCCTTGTGGCTCTCGCTGCCGTCTGTGCGACGTGGCCTTGCGGTCTTTCGGGCATGGATTTTTGGTGTTCGTGCAGGGGCCTTGCTGCTCATGGTTCTCGTGTTGTTCCCGGGATTTTCGGGGCTGTGGCGCCTTGGGTTGGCGTTTGCTGTCGGTTGTCTCGACTCCTTGGGGGGTGCGTGGTGTCCGCCTCCCGGTTCTGTCCCTTTGACCTTCCTCTGTGGGTAGTTAGCTCCGGGGAGCCGACGGGGCTCCCCCCAGAATACCAGCGTTGAATGTAATGAAACGCCATTTTCTGGGTGAGACCCGGAGGCTCCCCGGCAACCCTCCCTCCCTCCGGTCGGCGTTTTTCGCGTGTTTTGACATCCAGCCTCAGAACTGATGGGTGGATAGCCGGCGTGGGAAGTCTGGGGCTCCCCCTCCCCCTCCCGGGGAGGGGGGAGTTGCGCAGACAGCGGCGCGGTGACGTATGACGTCATACTAGTTTCCTTGTTTTCTGTTGGGGAGTTCTATCCACTAGTTCGGCTTTAGGTAGCAATTTTCACCAGAATAGGGGTTTGTTTTGGAATGCTTACCTTTCTGGATGCTTGACCCGGTCGATGGCAGACATAGAATGCTTCCAACCACACGGGGGTTTCTATAGGCCATTGCTCCCCTTGCCTCTCTGGGGGGGCCAGGTTCTGGCTCGTGGTCCCCGGTAGGCCCTAGAACTCCATACACATGACTGATGCCAAAGTCTGACATTAGCATATCAGCCGGTAAAGCTCCGGGGAGCCTCCGGGTCTCACCCAGAAAATGGCGTTTCATTACATTCAACGCTGGTTTTTTATTTTAGAACAGATTGTGTTTCTGCAGTTACCAGGAGGAGACCCTATGCTACGAGTAGGTATCGGACACCATCTGCACTCTTATGATAAGGTAAGATTGAATATGACTTATGAATATGCTATGAATATAGCAAGATAACAATTTAAAGACTGGAAATGGAACATAGTAGATGACGTTAAGGACATACGAAGAATGAAGATGATAAATTTTGGTGAAGAGATTTGTTTTGGTGCTCTAAAATCACTCTCTAATAATTGGGGGGTGTTATGGAAAGATGCAAATGCGAGTATTTCAGCACACCCAAAAATACATAAAATTTGTGAGTTATTTTTTACAATGTATTTAAATATTGCTGACAATAACAAGGACAATAACCGTGGGTGGTGTTTGGGACCAGCACTGCTTGTCTGGTGGCAAGAATTCTGGTGCCCAATCAGAATCGCTGGACAAGACAATGAAGGCATGGAGAAATTTGGGCTTGGGCAGTACTCCACTCCACTCTCCTTTGACAATAAAAATTTTTAGACTAGCTCTCCAGAGACATAATCGACCTAAGTAGTGCTCCACTCCATGATACAATGAGATGGCTCAATGTATTAGGCATTTGAGAGTGTGTCCTGAGAAAGATGTGTATGAGTATTGGAACAGCATTGAGGGAGGCGCCTGAAGGAGTTGTGTGCTAGTAGAGGCCGACTGTGAAAATAGTCCGATGAAGTGATAGTAGGGGCTCCCCCGTAAGGAGCCCCTATGGCTCCCTGGAGCTTATCGGGCTAATGTATGTTATGTTAGACCGGGACATTAGCTATGGAGTTCAGACCTACCAGGGACCATCGCCAGAACCTGGCCTCTTCAGAGAGGTTTTAGAGAGTAATGGCCCTGGAAAACCCCATATGGTTGGGGTTTTTCCTTATCTGCCATCAACCGGGGTTAGGCACCCAGAAAGGTAAGCGTAACAAAACAAACCCCACATGGTAAGAAACTACAACAAAAACCGAACAGAGGTAGAAAACTCCCTACAATCCCAAGGAAAACAATCAAACAATCGATTTACTGCCACGCCGGTCGTCTGCGCAGCCCTCCCCTTCCCGGGAGGGGTAGGGGGGGGCCGGACCTCACCACACCGGCTGTTTTCAGTTTGCAAGCTAGTGTCAACCGGGATAGACGCTTCTCTGGCCTCAAATTCCTTGGCGGTGTTTGCCTCGTGTGGCGTTCTCTGCTGTTTTTGTGTGGTGTGCGGTGGCCAGGAGTACTTCATCAGTGCCGGGGCTGCATGCGCCTAGGGGCTTCCTTCCCTAGGCGCCCTTGCGTGTCAGGGTTATCTTCTCTGGGGCGTTCGGGAACCGCTCCCATAGAGGTTCTTGCTGCTCGGCATTTGCCTCGCCCTTGGGGCCAGCTGGGGCTTGGGGCCCTTGTTTGGCCTTGGGTAGGGAGTGGTATTGTGCTAGTTAGGGCGTCAGGGTGTTGCGCGGCCTGCCACCTAAGCGGCGACCGGTTCCTGTTACCTCTGGGGATGGTGTACTTTTGCGGGGGTTTTCTTTTGTTTTGTTTTTGTTTGCCTGGTGGAGGTTCTGCCTCGTTACCTTGAGGTTACCTTGAGGTGCTTCCGGGGCTTAGTGTCCCCGCGGCCCGGTCGTCGACCAGGCCTCCTGGTTGCTGGACTGATCAACCAGGCTGTTAGACACGGCTGCTCGCAGCCTGACGTATGAGTCACAGCCTGGTTGATCAGGTATCCTTTGGAGGTGCTTATCCAGTTCTCTCTTGAACACTGTGAGGGGTCGGCCAGTTATGCCCCTTATGTGTAGCGGAAGCGTGTTGAACAGTCTCGGGCCTCTGATGTTGATAGAGTTCTCTCTCAGAGTACCTGTTGCACCTCTGCTCTTCAACGGGGGTATTCTGCACATCCTGCCATGCCTTCTAGTCTCATGTGCTGTTATTTCTGTGTGCAGGTTTGGGACCAGCCCCTCAATTATTTTCCACGTGTAAATTATTATGTATCTCTCCCGCCTGCGCTCAAGGGAGTACAGATTTAGGCTCTTTAGTCGGTCCCAGTAATTTAGATGTTTTACTGAGTGGATTCTAGCAGTAAAGGATCTCTACACGCTCTCCAGGTCCGCAATTTCTCCAGTTTTGAAAGAGGCTGTCATTGTGCAGCAGTACTCCACTCTAGAGAGCACAAGCGTTTTGAAAAGTATCATCATCGGTATAGCATCTCTAGTGTGGAAAGTTCTTGTTATCCAACCTGTCATTTTTCTTGCAGATACTTCTCGTGGGTCCATACTTCCCCTGGTATTGTTTTGGTGGCCCTCTGCTAGGCCCCCGTGCTTGTACACGTCCCAGGGGGTTTTCAGTATTATCATTTACCCTTGTGTTTTTTTTTTTTAACCGGTTAGTAACACCTTGCCTGGGCTTCCCGTAGTTGCTAACCTACAGGCCCTGGAAACCCCTGTCGGGGCTCGGGAACCATGGATGTGTCTCCCGAGTTCCAGCCTGCCTTGTGCGGGTTTGAAGGTTGCTGTGTGCCCTTGTATCAGGGTGACAGTCACCTGTTTTGCCTCCGTCATGTTGCCTGTTGGGTCAATGACACCTTTGACCCGGAGTCTTGCGAGTCATGTTCTCTGCTTGTGCTCCAGTTTTACTCTGAGGATGTTCCTATTAGGGTACAGGCAGCATCAGCGTTGCATGTTAGGCTTAGGTTATTGCAATGCGCTAGGTTCCCACCCGGATGCCCCGAGGCTGCCCCGTTTTGGCTTTAGGGACCCTGACCTGGGGGCGTTGGTCACTATGGCTTTGGCTCCAGCCGTGCCCCCCTGGTCCTTCCCCTGTGGTTCTTCCTGCACCTTCCCCCCCGTTGTCCAGCTCCGAAACGTAAGCGGGTTTCGGCCTTGGCACAGGGTTTAGTTGGTAGTGAGACTCGGGCTGCTTCGGGGGCTGCCCCATCCGGGTCGGGGACGGAGGCATTTGAGCCGGTTCCTCCTGCCGAGGCTTCTGGGTCCCGCCAGCAGACCCCCCTTTTTGTCTGCCTCTTCCTTGGACTCTACCTTTTCTTCAGGGGTAGAGGATTTGGAGGACGGCTCTGCCCCGGGTCCTGACATAGGGGATCCTGGGGCTGGAGAGGAGTCGACCTGGGGGCCTTAGGCCCCCTGTGACCCCGCTTGGGTGCTTTTGCCTTCCCCATGGGGATTATTGTTGCAGGGGGAGGGGTTTTCTTACCCCCCTTCCCTGTATGAGTGTGATTTGGGTTCGGCTCCTCCCCGGGTTTGGTTCCGGGCGCCTTTGGGTACCTCGGCTCCGTCTTTCCAGGGGTTTGCTACTTCCCGTATCTCCGTGAAGGTGGCTCGGGAAGCTCTTGCTGCATACCTCTTGCAAGACCCGGGTTATGCCTCCCCAATGGATCCGTCCTCGTTTGAGTTCGATTCTTCTTCCCGTTTTTGGGTGCGTTTGGAGGTTCCGGAGTCTTCCTGGCTGGCAGACTGCCCTTTCTTTTCGTTGGGGGCGTGGCATGGGTTCTGTCAGACCCGCACGCTTGATTGGCGGGAAGCTGCTACTTTTATGCAGGTTTACCTGGGGGGGGAGGGGGCGAGTTTGAGCACCTTAATGCATGCTTATTCGCTCCCGTGCTTTCTCGGGATGTTGGCCTTTTCCAGCTTCACGTGCAGGTTCCTCAGCTTTCGGCTTCGTTGGTTGCGGAGGAGTTGCGCTCCCGTGGGCATTTGGCTTCGGTCTTGCGTTTCTTTTCCCTTCTCGAGCTGTCTTCTGCTTAGCTTGAGGAGGATGTGGGAGCCTCCCCCCCATCGCCCCGTTGACTGGGTGATGGGGGGGGGAGGCTTGCTTTGTTTGCCCACGCTTGGTCCCACGATTTGTGGGCCTTTTCGGTCGTGTCATCCGGCCTGCGGTGGTGTTGAACGACTCGTCCCCCTTTGGGGGGTTCGGGGCTAACAGGGCAGGTTTCTTCTCCTGCGCTTCGTCAAGTCGTCTTGGAGTGGGTGCGCTTGGGCGTGGTCGAAACCACTACGTCTCTCAGGTGGGTTTCCCGTCTGTTTCCAGTGCTGAAACGGGACTGTGCGGATCTGAGGTTCATTCTGGACTTGTCCCGTCTGAACCCCTGGATTCTTTGCCCCTCCTTTCGGATGATTACTCTGTCTCAGGTCCGGCTTCTGTTGGAGCCAGGTGCCTGGATGGTGTCCCTGGACCTCAAGGACGCGTATTGGCACGTTCCTATTCATCCGGGGTTCAGAGACTGGTTAGGTTTCGTGGTGGGGCATCACGCTTACCGTTTTCGATACCTACCTTTTGGCTTGAATCTGGCACCTTGCGTTTTCACGCGTCTGACCCGGGTTGTGGTGACCCGTCTGCGTCTTCTAGGGATTCGGGTTTTGGCCTACCTCGACGACTGGCTGGTGTGAGCTCCAAGTCGGTCAGCTTGTCTGCTCGCCAGGGATATGGTTCTTTCCCAGCTTGCCAGGTTCGGGTTCCTGGTGAACTGGAGGAAGTCCCATCTAGTTCAGTCCCAGGTTCGGACCAGGCTGGGTCTTGTTTGGGATTCTCGGACCGCTTCCTTGTCTCTCCCTCCAGAGGTGTTGCGGCGGCTGCGGGACCGCTGTCAGCTGTTTCTGAGGGGGGTCCCGAGTCACTCGGCGGTTGCTCGAGTGGTTGTGCGGGAGTCTGAACTTCGCCGTGCAAGTCTACCTGCCGGGTCGGGTTTGGCTTCGGCGTCTGTTTTGGTTCCTTCGGGACGTCCTTTCCGCATCTCTCGCGATCGTTGGGTTCATCCTCTGGGAGTCTTATGTTGGTTACTGCATCACCGGCTTCCTCTTCAGACTTTTCGGGGTTCGGTGCCTTGGCACCTTCCCGAGTCCTCGCTCGATGTGTTCACAGACGCGTCGTCTCTCGGCTGGGGCTTTGTGACCAGTGCTCACCAGGCAGGCCAGGGACGGTGGGGTCCGTCCTTCCATCGGGCTCACAGCACGGTTCGGGAGTTCTCGGCTGTCTGGTTCGCGCTTCGGAGGATTCAGGTCGCTCGGGGATCGACCATTCGCCTCCATTCGGACTGTTCTCCAGTGGTTCATTGCCTGAACCGCGGGGGTTCTCTT